CCCCCCCCCAGAAATTCGTATTCCATATTCACGTCTCATCAAATGGTTCAGTCGTAATAAAATAAAAGTCAAACGACGAATAATGCTCATACTAGTACGGCGTTTRGCAGATTCTTACCCCATGTTGAAATGGATGTTTTGGATCGTTCCGCTATGAATGTACTGTTAATCGACATCACAGGGTTCTGCAAAAAAATAAATCTATRGGTTGATATAGATTTATCTTCGCTCCTGCCTTTTTGGCCGGGCACTCACAACAGCGAAGGCAACCGCGGATCCAAGGAGATTCACGGCCAGTGTTTGTTCCTAGTGATTAGTTTACATCCCCCCTGTGCAGAAAGATAGAAAGAAGAAAGAAGTGTAGGGAGCTCCGTCTTTAACCGAGAAGGCGTGATTATTTAACCATGTGTACGCGGAGAAACAAAGATCTCTTACCATGTCAAGGCATCCTAAGTATTAATAGCAACCGCTGGAAGCATGTAGCGTATGTTCCGGCGTGCGGCAGTGAAGTAAAAAAATCTCGATTTGTCGAAAATAGGCCACGAGAATCACCACCTTAAAATGAAGCAAGATCACCAAACGTACATAATAAACTATAATTATATCTTAATCATGTACTATCACTTTTATTGCCATTTTTTATGTTTTTTAATTTTTCTAATTTAAATTAAATATCATAAAGCAATTTTTAATTAAAAGTACGTTTGGTGACCTTGCTTCATTTTGAGGTGGTGATTCTCGTGGCCTTTTGTGCGCGAGAGATTTTTGAAAAAGGCAACAATCTTGGTTTATACTCTCATAAACCACACTTTTTTGGCCAATCAGAGCGCGCGTTAGAAATCATCTATATAAYAATAATAATTATGGAACATTATGGAACAGTCATAATTTGGTAAAAATAATATCATCTTGTAGTAAAATCATTACAAATAATACRAATAGGAAACATTGATGCTTAAAATGTTATAACGAGGTAATATATATACAATATTCTACTATTGAAATCAACTCTGAAGAAAGTAAACCTCTTACTCAGCAAAAATGGTTGCGATACGAAAACTGACTTTGAGAACATCAGACGGACTTACCAGAAATTAATCATTAGAAATATCATCGACTTACTTAATAAGCCTGTTGTTGTTTCTACTATCTCAAAGAATAACTACAGACACAGAGAGTAAGTTACAGTTGAATTCCGTACGTCACAATATAATGATACAGTCTGTGCATTTATGGGAAGGSCAATATCGAACTCATTGCTTTACTTACTGAGATTATCATTATACTGGGAATCGAAAACTTTAGAAATACTGTACAGAGGTTGCCATAGCTATATACATCTGATATTCTTTCGTGTTAACACCAATCCACAATAAAAACTACAGACGTTTACGCAGACGAATATTTCCTGTGATATTGGACAGCCATCTGTGGCCATACAGTGGCGCTATTGTTAGCCTATTCTGAACTTCGTTTACGTCTATATGCGATTGGAGTTTACAGTCTTATTGACAGGTAACTGAGAGGAATTGAAAAATATCTAAAAGAATCGGACCRAGAGTTAAAGAAAGAAAGACTTAATAGTCGACTTTTGTCATAAATACATTTTTTTCTAAATTTAGCAGTTTTAGAATCTGTACGAATTTAGTCAAGATAAGACATGATGGCCATAAACTGATCAGTAATGCATTTGATTATAATAATTATAATTTATAGCTTTGCTACTCATTGACTGCAAACTTCACCAAAAGTGGAGAAGTAGTGTGAAACTTGCTGAAATACTTAATATCACAATGGACTTTCCTTTTTTGCCTATTCTAATACCCCGTTCACAGCAAATAACTTCTTACTTGATTCATTGCTTAAAGTTGCTCTTCGATAATTTGCTATTTAGTTTTCCAATGAAAACGTTGATAAATCAGCCAAGAGCAGTTCTCTTAAATGGAAAGTAAATCTTGCGTTGCCGGCGGTCTGCGGATTTACTGGCTGTAACTCAATTGAGGGTCTGGATGGGGYTGGCGACTGGCGGTTAACCCCATTGAGCCCCTCTCAATTCTCCCATGAAAATATGGGATGCACATACATGCAGGGGTCAAAATCAAACATTGTTATAGAATGGTGTCCATTTAGATATTACTAAAAACTTTGACTACATAATTGTTCTTATTCAGGCCCGCCTGGTGTCCATAAGTCCATATAAACTGAAAAGGACCGTTCTTACATCGTTCTGGTTTCCACGAGGCTCGYCTATAGATAACTCAACCAGAACAGTGATCAAACTAAAGTTATAAATTGCTCTKCACAATCCATTAAAGGAAGAAACCATAAGKTTGTCGCATCGAGCCTGGCTCCGTCTTGCCTAGACTTAATACAAGTCGTTCTGATTTTTCGGKAGGGACACGTCAGTCAAGCTAACAAAAAAAATTAAAAAGCGGGGCTTACGACTTYAAGAAAGTCTATGTTGAAACCATGTGAAAACCAAGCCATCTTCATCTGCAGACTTCCTGCTTTGGGGCATTTTCTCTGGGAGCGTAAGTATCAGCTTCAGTCTGAAAGGAAATTGGGGCAGCAGAGAGCCTTTATACTATGTATCGCTATGCCCTAATCCTCTTCGAGAGATTCTGATACTCTGGGAACGAGGAACCAGCAACTRAAGATGGAATCACTCGAGGATGATAACATCCTTTTTTACATCCTTTTTAAACCACATTCCAAGGAGTGTCTTTTTGCCACGGAAAGTGACATGTGGTTACATCACGTCACTGGCATGACTGCTAGCGACTCGCCTTCTTCATTCTGAAAAMATTTCRAGCTCATTCCAAAAAGTTTTTTTCTTGATTCAATCTTAAATCAAAATAATGCATGCATTTTGAGCACTGACCGGTATAATTATTCATGCTTGGAGGGCAGMGTGGCTTTAGATATGGAGAAAATTGCAGTACAGAACATCATGGTGAGAAATAAGAAATMTTCTTATTCCGTTTTAAAGTACTTTAGGTATGGTAAAACTAAATCAAATTATTTTTTGGTCTGATGTGAACTGACCTGAACAAAAAGGYGAGTTCGTGAAATATTAAGAAAATGGACATCTACTGTCTGTCTTTCCACTTGAACACAAGTGAATTATGACACGTTTTAGTTTAAAACCGCCTTATACCGTCATAGCTAGAASGGACAAAACACGAAATACAAAACTAGATGCTATAATACTATTATTATTGGTGCACTTAATTGTCCCATATATTATTTAAAGGTCAGTCCTTTAGAGTCTTCAGGAGTGTTGGCTTTCTTCGGATTATACTCTTCTAACTCACAATGCTACTGAAATTCGGGCAAATTTCAATCAAATCAATTTTCTCGCAAAAAAAACCATTGGCTTTCATTAGAAGCTATCATTGTTAGATACTGTATATATTTTCTGAATAAATAGCATCTTTACTAAACTTGCCTTTTTTTCTATGAGCSGTTCCTTTCCATTGACTTCGTGTAACAGTTATTTTGTGAGAATTGTGTTTATATACAACAAATGTCGGCGTCATGATGCGGCGTGTAACATGATCTACGTAACGTTAGAACAGATCAAATGTCACATTGTCGTGAAATCTCACTTGCATAATAAACATGATATCAGTACAAAACAATGCGTCTTATTAGAGAAATGGTAAATTTGTACTTTAGCCGTCCTTTAGCCAGGTAACAAAACAATATATCAAAAACACCATAGCTATAGTAAAGCCTTCGGCCTGAGTGCCGTCTTCACTCTTGATTTTTTACGAATTTTGGGCTATTTCTCTATGACAACAATTTTGCAATTAGTTTTATCTAACAAAAATATTCATTATTTCTGTGCGTCTGTACTCTAATAGATACACAGAGACATTGACTTGGACATTTTATGGTACAGTAGGGCGAATATTGTAAACGACGCTTAAAACGTCAACACTAAAAACAGATAAATAACGGAAAACGATAAATAATTTCTATATTCAGTTCAGTGTGTAATAAGCATGCGCAATTTACAACAATAAAGCGCATTTTGAATTTATTATTAATCCCACTTGGAGAGCAATCTGTAGGGTGATTCATTTCTGTGTCATCTGATGACAGACATAAGGAGATGATAATTTCCAGTGTTCGACTGTCTGAATAAAGTTGACCGTGTCGTTTAATTTATGTGGTCAATCAACACAGGCAATCCAAGCTAAGCATTTGAATAGCTGATTTAGCGATATCTAGAATGCATGTAAATATGACCTTTTTTATAGAAAAAATAATTACAAATGTTTTTCTTACCTTGAGATATTAGGGTTTTAGTTCTGAATTAAGTCGTAATTTGTCGTTTTTCTTTATATCTCCCCCCTTATATCAGTAATATAAATAAAGATTCGTCCTCTAACTAATCTCTGAAAAAGATCAATAGCATGTTTCGTCTTTAACGTATGAATGACAGACATTTGACTTGTCACGGCGGTTAGTGGTAGTCTGGTGTCTAGTCTTCCCATAATGCTTATCGATAAGTACTCAAAGCAAGTCGACAGATGATCTTACGATAAAACTTTTGTTGTTTGAATTTCTTGTTATTTTTGATCACAAAAATATTACAGAATTAGTTAAAAGTACTCAAACAAATCATCAGGACGTGCCTGCCCAGGTCGAAAAGAAAAATATGTAATGTATTTAGTTTTCWTCAAGAAGGATCGAACTTGTGTTGGTTCCATCAAGTGTGGATGCTGGAACATTTTCCTTGTCGTGACAGCTAGTCGCTGATTTTGAATTCGTACAGTTTTATTTTTAGCATGGGCGATCATTTCAATCAAAGGTAGTAATATGATGGTCTAATATTGTATCGGTGATAGGTTGTTGATGGTGTTCTGTTGTTGATCGTAGCTGGTACCACGGCAAGATAACCAGAGAACAAACCGAATCCATTCTGACTGGTAAAAATCCAGGCACTTTCTTGATTCGAGACAGTAAAAGTCTRCAAGGCGACTATGTTTTAGCAGTTAGGTAAGGGTAATCAGTACTACTGTATTTTAAAGCATGTTTTTGTTATCGTTGCAATCAGAATAACTTGAACATAACTGTACACCGACTGTGATGATTGTTGGATGTCAGGTGCTATTTGATGAGTTACTGGGGCTTCCCCACTACATCATCTGGAATTTTCTGTATCATTTTTACATTTTTATTGTGTTTGTTGATTCCCAAAACTTTTTAATCAAAAATTGCATACAAATCAAAAATAGACGAGGAAATACAAGAATGAACTTTCTTTGCATTCAGCTTAACAAGTTTGAAGTAGAATATACTGCCACTAAGCTTACATGTGTTTTAACTACTGTACCCTTGTCAATGAAATATCCACCTTTTTTTGTTTTCAGTAGATTCGTTTTCAATGAAATATCCAACATTTTTTGTTTTCAGTAGATTCTTTTTGGCATGWTTAAAATATTAAATTTTCTTAAAGCAAAACTACCAAGAACTTAATTCAGCCAGAAGTTTGAAATTTGAGTCTTTGTTTGTAAAACAAAAGATACATRTAGTGCACTCACAGCTTAATTGTCTTAGAGGCAAAAATCATCAATTCTGATTTGATATACTTAATATTTGCACGTCAGTTTGATCAATAACTTGATTTATACATTYATACAGTTTGCATATTGTTTTTAGCAAAATGAAAACAAATTGGTGCTGGCTTGCAGCAAGTTAACACMTAAATTATTTTCACTTTAATGCAATCATTTCCTTAAAATCTACCATAAAGATCAATTGCCACCAAATTCAGAGAATCATTAATTATTGTTATGGATCGGATTTGCTGAATAAGTCATGAAACAAAACAATAACACAAAAATCTGAGTTTTGAGAGCTTCAAATTGGACTTGAAATGAAATGAACTTTAAGTGTGTATTTYAGACAAGTACATCATGTGTCTTAAACCAATGTTTCACCCAAACAAAAGTGGTTTTGTTAGATTTGGAAGTAGATGGCTGTAGCTGTATGTGATTCATGATGGGCTGCAAGCGTTACAATCATAATATGGCAAAACTTGCTAAGCCAAAGATCAAAATTAATGCTGGATTTCTCCTATTGCCAGCTTCTAATAAAATCCCTGAAGTATCATAAATTCATTTACCATGGATATTGTTAAGGACATCTGGGACTGGATAAGAAATATTCTTTATTACTTTCAATATTTTCTGAGCTTTGGAGCATCAGCGAACTACAAGCAGTTACAAAAATGACCCCTAGTGATTAAAATCTAACCACATGACAAAAGTGCAGATGCAAAAAAATGCAAGTTAAAATTATGTTTCYTAATTATTTATGTAAAATGTGAATGGAAAAAGGTATTTTATAGGAAAATTCATTGGATGACGAGGGATTTGAATTCCCGAGTCATCTAATGAATTTTTCTTGAATCCCATTGACAAATAGCCCATTTTTGGCGAAAAAAAAACCCAGTGCCAGTCTGTCATGTTTTGTGTGTACCCGGCGGAAATTAAGCCAGTTTGGTGTTTTCATTGTTGAGTCCAGCCAATAGAATTTAACAAAATGAAAAAGTGGTAAATTTGCATAAATTTTTCACATCCAAGACTTTCAAAGTTTAGTTGTACGAGTGTATTTGGTTCAAATATTATTGAATTTCCTAGCAAAAAATATCTAGTTTGTTGAAGTAAAGTCTACGAGAACATGTTTGCTGCTGTTGACCRTAAACTTATTTGACTCCTCAAGAACTGAAAACAGCTTTCTATAGATGCTTATKACGTAAGCCGGAAGTGAATTGAAAACAATAGAAAACAAAGGAATGGAAACGAGGCCTAAGGGCACTTGAGGTGTTCAGATGGCAAATATCAAGGGATTCCATTCACCTSRATTCAAGAAAAATTGGTTGTCAGTAGGAAAAGGACATTTTCTTGCTTCTAATTAGAATAATTTTTTAATCCCTAAGTTACTTCCGGTTTATGTCGTAAGCATGTAACTCAGATGCCTCTTAATAACATAAAATGAAGATTTRGATTCATTTGGATTTTAAAAGAGTATTCATCTTTTCTGTTGGAGCAAAAAAAATCTTGGTTCAAATTTTTGATAGTCTTTGCTGAAGTTTATTCATGACGAGTCAACTAAATTTTTTATGTACTTTGGGCATGCAGCCAGCCGTAATCTTATAAACKTCGAAAAACTAAAGTTATTTCGTGTATATCACCGTAGATAAATGCTGCCTCTAAATACAGTTATTGCTTTTTTTCTTATTGGCCTCCAAATCTACAATATTGAATGATAAAACTTGATTACTTGTGATCTTGCAGTACTCAAAACAGAAATGAGCTGTCAGAGTCAGTGAGACAGAGTGAGAAAATTTCTGATTTTTTTCTTAACTCATGAGGCAAACTAAGGAAATTTGCTTATTTGTATTAGTGCTAAAAATGTGTAAGATGACTAAAAAGTACAACTTCTGTATTTGTGAAAACATGTAGGTTTTGTCAATAAATTAAAAGACAAAAACAAAACGCGGGATCCCTGATTTTTCATTGTATTCAGCTTTTCAATACTCTAACAAATAAATGGTCCTTTTTATAGAACACTAACAGGGATATTGTAACAAAACCTGCATATCATTTTTCGATTCTCTATGAAAAGAGCTTCTAGTCTTGTTGCTTTAAATTGTTTTTTGTCCAAAAAAAAAAAAATAAAATAAAATGTAAACAAATAAAAACTCAATCATGCAGGATCCCTGATTGTTCATTTATTCAGCTTTGAAAGTGATTCCAATCTGAATCCTTCACTATGTACGTCACATTTTCATCATCTCGGACCAATCAGCATGTGACTTTATTCAGGGATTCTGGAATTATGCGCTGATGCGGACCCGCATAATCGGCCATTCTCCACATAATCCTGCATAATTTGTCAAAAAATCAATGTATATGTTATCCATCTTGCGTCTGGCTTGAGTATTGTTTTTTCCCTTTTTTATCGTCATACAAAGTACTAAAAGTATCATTTTTTAACAAAACAACGACATACGTGCGCGCGACGCCATTTGGTTTTTATGACATTCATTTAGTGATGTGTTTCCTGTGGCTCGGCCCAGGTTCCACAGCCATTGGCGGTTTCCAAGATGGCGAACGTTTACAAGAATTAGCCGATAACAAAACGAGCAGGGACCTGGGACTGAAAATTTTAAAAGTGCTACAATCTTACAGAAATCTGTTGTTGATAGATAAAGCACATATAAATTGAAGGGGCGGATGCGAAAACGACTTAAGTGACGATTTAGGGTATTTTCGAAATTTTCGAAAAATTAAAAAAACATCATTCCAATCGCTTATTTTAAGTCTAAATAACCTTATTTAGTACTTATTTCTCCTGATTTCTTTCCAAAAAGAGCAAAAAAGGACCCATAGTTACCGACTTCTTTGGCTTGACAACTGATCGCTAGACCGTAAAATATCCTAGATTTGCATATTCGCGCTAAACTCATGACTTTGACAGTTGGTTTGCCGGTTTGTTTTGGTTNNCTGCTTTTGTGTAAAGACCATGTATACCTGTCTGGTAGTTTCTTGCAAACACCAATTTCCATTTGTATTCTCAAACAATGCCTTGAATTAAGTTTAAATATTATATCTATTTTTGACTAAAATGAATACAGGATAGCTGAAACCTAATAAGTTTGTGCATATCATCCCCTAAGTATATCCCTAACCATAATTTTAATTTTAATAATAATAAGTTTGTAACTATATATTTTGATTTTGTCAGCGCAGTACAATAAACAGTGTGTTTACTCTATGAACCAGGATAGAGTGCAAGTCACATAAGCATGAAACAATTCTTAATTAAGATTTAGTTATCAACTAACTAAGAATTCAACAAAGCATAAACACAATGCCAATTATTTAAATTCCTTTGTACCATTGTTCTCAATTCTTAGTTGATAACTAAATCTTATTTAGCACTACATAGTTAAGAATTGTTTCATGCTTACTTGCACTCTACTTTACATTTTATACAAGTCACATGTAATCAAAGCTACTGATAAATTATGTATGCTACTCTTCATGAAGTTCAGCTAAACCTATTTATATTTGGGATCGGGTAATCTTCAAGTTATGTGCTTCGAGTTGCACCTTCGAGTTACACGCTTTTCAAGTTACACGCTCAACCACGCCCAAATTTGCCTCGGCCATGCCCAGCGCATAACTTAATGCAACTAACATACATTAGTGTCTTGAGTTACGCGCTTTTAAATCAAAATCAATATAAAAAAGAGCTCAATGCCAATGCAATCTATGTGCATTTATTCTTTAATTTATAGATAAACAGAATSACGCCATTTCTTCACAAAAAGTCACGCAACAATAGTGTTTTGTGAATATTTTTCTAAAATTCGAGGTTACACAATAAGGAAGAGATTGATCAAGCCTTTTTTCGGACGTTAGTATCATCATGCATGATATCAACATTAAATGTCGGGTGGTTCCCACTTTCAAATCCTGAATTGGTATTAAAACAAATCGCAAAGATATTTGAAAATGTAAATTCTTAGGATAGAAACTAATCAGTTGGAAACTAACAAAAACAAACGGCATGTACAGATTGAAGGACTTGCCRAGATTTCCCTGCCTTGCGATAATGGCAAATGTAAAATGTAACACTGAAAAAAGAGGTGACATTAAGGTGTTGTTTCATAAAAAGGAAGATATGGCATTTGTGGTTTTTGCTTGTTTTTTTGTTGTAAGGCATAGACCTTTTTGGTCTTTAATACACTATTTGTTTGAATTTCGTGCATTTTAAACAATAGGTGAAATAGACGAATGCATGCATGAGATGGGACTTTCTTTGTTTGCACACAACATTAATTACCTCAACTCTTTCAATTAGATATAAACTAGCTGCTTCCGATAATGTTGTCGATGCGATCTTGATCTTGCTATGTGATGGAGAGTGGCGTAATTAATAGAAGTTGATTATAGATGATTATAGTTGCTTATTATCGTTTCTTGGGCATGAAGTTGAACATTAATGCATAACTATTTTCATTTACCGGCTTTTTGCACTAAGTTTTGTAGTTTGTAGCCTAAGGGCTGACATTTGTAATTTTAAAACTTGATATATTTGTCTAATAATTTTTTTTTTGTAAAAGAAGAGCATTTTCCTTTGTTTGCTTGAAAAATAAAAGCTGTTAAAACAATGAGCTCTTTTTTATATTGATTTTGATTTAAAAGCGCGTAACTCGAAGACACTAACTAAGTTATTTTAGTTGCMTCAAGTTACGAGCAAGGCAAGTAACTCGAAGACACTAATGTATGTTAGTTGCTTCGAGTTATGCGCTGGGGTTGACCGAGGCAAATMAAAAAACTCGAAAAGTGCGTAACTCGAAGCACGTAACTCGAAGCGCGTAACTCGAAGATTACCCGCCCTCTTTATATTTTAGTAGTAATTTTTAGTAGTAATTTTTCTATATTTAGTCATCAAATAAATACAATTATTGTCAACATACCTAAGGGAGTACTAAAGACATATCACAGGAGGAACCCAGCACAGCACTTCAATCCTCAGTATCTAGTAATATATAAATTGGGCAGTTCTTCATTACAGAGTGACATTACAATAGCYGAGTTTAGATATTTTGGTTCAGTGACCATGCACAAAAGAATWGYARACRAKRMTCCGGGGAAATAAAGAATAAAACGATATTATACGCTCTTTGATTGGTCATTTTGAAGCGTGCACTTCAAAATAACTCTTTGCAATATTAAAAAAAAAATAAAATTATCAATGGATAATCTTGATTTATTCTTTATTCCCCGGAGCCTCGTCTGCAATTCTTTTGTGCATGGTCACTGAACCAAAATATCTAAACTCGGCTATTCAGACAAGATTTTGTGGTTTCAATTAAACATAGCATCAAGGCTAAGGAGAGTTTACATTTTTCTTCTACATAGATTTGTTAGGTAGTGGGAAGTGTACATTATGGAAGTTGATTAAAAATTAAATTCTTCCATATGGCTAATATACATCAAATTCAAAGTAGTGCTACAGACGTGACACAAAATCACCCCACACCTCTAGGTCTATGTCTTTGATTAGAGATTTCTCTGAATTTCAAAAGCTTTGAAGTCTCAATTGCTAATAAAGCTATTGCTATATGTATGATATTTAATATATATAGTAAACATTTCAGCTTTATTCTTTTCTCTATAAAGTATGAAGAAAAGTTCAGCATTACAGACGTTACAGGTTTTGTTACAGACGTTACGCGTACGAAATAAAGATCTTGATTTTAATGGAAAATGAATAAAAACTTATATGAACAATACATGTAGAAATGCAGTTCCTTTTCCAATGTTCTTCTTGTTAGCCAATTTTGTATACTTATAAAGCCAATTTGATTGTAATTTGTAATTTTATTTTTCATGATTGGGATTCCTGTGTCAGTAAAACAGTTTGATCAATGCTATCTCATAAAAACACATGCTTTGTGACTCACCGTGTATTTTTCTCTTTCTATGATTTTGTAACGTCTGGAATGCAAGATGTGTAATGTCTGTAACACAAAATTTTTAACGTCTGTAACATAATTTCAGCAGTCGACTTATTAAAGAGCTGCATCCAATTCCTTGTCACCTATCTGTTACCCACCTATCTGTTACCCACCTATCTGTTACCCACCTATCTGTTACCCACCTATCTGTTACCCACCTATCTGTTACCCACCTATCTGTTACCCACCTATCTGTTACCCACCTATCTGTTACCCACCTATCTGTTACCCACCTATCTGTTACCCACCTATCTGCTACCCACCTGTTACCCACCTATCTGTTACCCAC